GGGGGGGCAGGATGGAGGGATGAAAATTTACCCAAAAACTGCAGATTAACAGACCTGGGGTGAAAAAACAAACCAACATCAGACGGGTGAAAGAGTTGATGTTGTCTGCACTCTCAGAGGCTGAGACCCAGAAGCACGGGACCCTGAAGGCCCTGGAGAGGATGAGACCAGCCCTGGAAAAGATGTGTCGGCTAGGGCTGCAGCTGAGGATGAAGCTGGCAACTGGACCAGGTTAATGGGTAATGTAATGGGTTAATGTCTGACCTTGACCTTAGAACTGGGGGAACGAGATTACATGACTTGCTGTTGATTGGTGGCACAAATGTGTATCAAGTTTTGTTAAGTTAGCTTGAATGCATCAGAAGTTCTGGGCGTGACATAAGAAAGGTTATGAATGTATGTACATACGGACGGAGACTATACCAAAACATGGCCGCCTTTCAGCAGGCGTAAGAAAATGAAGAACTTACTGTTTAATAGTGCCTGTGGTCAGAGCACTAATAATCCACTGCAGGTCCAGAGTCTTGAAAGGGATTAGCACCAGACTAGTGGCATTGTCCAGGTCTATGGCACTTTCTGGGTACATGAGATGATGAGTTGTTTTCATTCCTACATCTTCCTCAAAGCCACTTCGAGGAGCCTGGTTCATCCTGTAGGAACAGACAAAACAATGACACTTAAGCTCAAAAAGTATTTGTTTTAATATTTGTTTCAGACCAAAGCATGCATGTCAGGCTGCCTTCAGGTCCAGGCCTCCCTTGCAAAAGAGATCTGTGATCTCAATGGGATTTGCCTGGTTAAATAAAGGTTAATAAACATCTTATCTGGCAACTTTTGTCATCTTTATGTCCTCGGACAGTTCAGTGGAATGTTTTTTTCTCTCATTATCGCCTGCTACTGAAAGGCAAAGGTGGACAGTAATTAAGTAATCGTTAATGAAAAAAACGTTGAAACATTTCAGCAAAAAAAGAAACTGTCCAGATGATCTGACTAAAAATTGTTGGAAGTAATCATTAATTTTGCCTGTTTGTGTGTGTTGGTTTGTTAGCAAAATATCCCAAGAACTACTGGAAATCTTTTAAAATGAAATTCTCAGAAGGTAATAAATAGATGTACATATACAATTGAATAACTTTTGGGGTCAACCCAATTCAAGATGGCTGGCACAGACAACTGACTTTATCAACACAAGGGCTATAATTCATTCAATTTTACAAATACTAACCTAGAATTTGGTGTGGTAGTAGTTGAGAATCATTTCACATACTTCAAAGGCTACTCACTGTGAAAAGTTTGACTTAAAACCTTGGCATTAACTTTTCTAGGTAACCCTGTTTGTCTGTTAGCAAAATATCTCATGTCACTGGACAGGTTTTGATGAAACCTTTAAAAATTAATCATTGGATAGACATCTGTAGCTATCCCATGAGATCACGAAGAATGTTTCATATTTTTATTTTTTTACAGAATTGACCAAAATGACTACAATTCTCTTCTCACACCTAGGGACAATTTAGAGTTACCAATCAGTCTAACATGCATGTTTTTGGTCTGTGGGAGGAAACCGGAGTACCCGGAGAAAACCCACGCATGCACAGAGTGAACATACAATTTCCACCATGCAGGCGAAAAAATAAAAAGCACAATCTATTCTGCCCTCCCCATGTTTTGTCATCTAAAAAGCAACTCTAAAATCCTGTGTGCATGTAGAGCCCAGCAATTACCACTTCACAGTGAAGCCGAGGCGTACCTATTATTGTCCAACAATGGAACAGTAATTGTCAGGCATGGAGTTTGACGACCGCAGCTGGCTCCGGTCAGAGGTAGGAAGTGACACATAAGAGAAGATTCCAGAGTCTGACCCTCTGTGTGACTATCATTACCCATCTGAGTGCTCTGGTCTGAGTGGTATCATCTTCCTCATTACAGACTTTTGAGATGACAGCTATATAACAATTTGACATTTTCAGGCCCAGCCTGTCAGAACAACTTCTTGCAAGGCGCATTACTGGCCAAGGCTATTTATTGTTGATGACAAGTTCAATATGCCAAAATTCAGTGACCTTTCTGTTACCAATATTACATTCCTGGTAGATGGTTACATTTGTGGTTTGTGCTAATACTAAACAGCCTAACATTAAGAAAACGTGTTCAGTATTTGTATCTGTAATAACTACATTTTTATGTATAAACTGTATAAATAATATAAGTAGTATAAAAGAACCAAGATCTAAAGAAATGTCAAAACTGCTACAAGTGGCTCATGTAGTGAACTAAGCCTCAGGTCTCAAATCTGGCCTTGAGGGCCTTCCTGGGACAAGAACTGTATTTCATTGATTTGAGTCCAGAAACACAAGATTAAGTTCATCCGGAGACTTTCTAAAGTGTCCTGCACTGATCAATTGAAAGAACACTCTCTTTTTCTATTATCATTACTATCTTACAAATGTCTTGATAATCAAAGTGTGTTAGTTCAAACCATTTTAAATGTTGAAGTGAACGACTCATTTTAAATCAACTGTGAAACAGTATTAATGATTTTTTTTAAAATCCTCATTCAAAGTAGAATTCAAGTTAGAATGTGTTACGGAGTAATTCATGCATTTTCTGATTTTCTGTCTGAAATGAGCAAGTTGTGATGTTGGTCCAAGGTTGGAGGCAAGAAGACAAGTTGTTGGAACGAACTGTCATGTTTTTATATCCTCTCAGACGTAAATAGAGAAGCTGGCACCTGTTTTCCCCCAACTCGCCTAAACATTTCTCTCGTCTGTCTCAAAAACATCTTCTGTCCGTTCCAAAACAATTTTTCTGTTTTTCTGACTTTTAATAACCTCTTACATCACTAAAACACACCCCTGTCTGGTCGATCGACCAATCAGGAACTTCCCAAATGAACCGGAAATAGAACTCTTTAAATGTCGGCACTTCCTAGTTCAAACCAGTCGTTTTGCAGTCGAGTGCAGCCAGTGCAGTCTAGTTCAGTTCAGAGAACAAACCGAACACAAGAAGTGCTGGGGAGAACAGGAGTTCCAGACATGATCCGGAGTTCTTCCGAGTCTCGTGGGAATTATGCAATCTTCCACATCTGAGTGGAACTCTGACGGACTTACAACTCATGTGAGTCCAACCGGGAGGTGAACCTGTGTCGGACGGAATACCGTCGCTACTTCGGGCGATTCACAGCTGTTCCTACGGCGACGCTGAAAGGGTGCGTTAAATGGAACTCCGTACCAGTGGAGACACCTGCTACAGGTAAAGAGTCGATTTATACCACCTAAGTGTACCGAGGAGGAAGCTGGGATCTTAACGGAGAGTGCCGTTCTGATACCGACACATTTCCCTCATCCATCCTTTCTCTCCATTTAAACTTCATTTCCATCTTTAAACTCTTATATCTTGCCAGTGAACATCCAGATATTTTCAGAAATGTCTGTTGTAATGCTTGAAATGGGGAAATCATGGCCGTATGGTTTCCTCCTTGTAAAACTTGCTAATTAATTATGTGTTAATGAAATCAATTTGCCAAATTAATGTAAATGTTTGATGTTAAACTTTGATTCTGTTAATAAATGACCGCATTCATTTGATGGGTCAAAGAAAATTAACGCCTCACGTTACATTTAATTAATTTCAACGCACGATATTATTCAGTCCAGAAAAATGAATGAATCCGTTTAATTCATGGATAATATATCACAGATATATGTTCCTCTACACTCATTCACATCACAATGGTAACCATGTAGCTGTCCTTCTATCCATCACAGCACTCTTCACAGGTCAGGCAGACAAAAATGCAAACTACAAAGTAAGAAACAGAATTAAATAGTTCAGAATAGATGTTATACAACAAGTCCAATAATTTTTGTATGGGAGTTTATTGACAAATTCAGTCAGAAATGGGATAAACACCTGTTCAAAAATACATACATCAATATTTAAAGTATCCACACATCACTATTGCATCTATTATAATAATAATTTTCCACCAGGCATTAATGGTAAATAGAACAAAGTGTCATCAGTATAGCAAGGATTAAAAATATGATGTATTTTATTTATCCAGTAAAAGCCCATACACAGGTCCAAGTATTAAACCCTGAGGAACTCCATGACTAACTCTGGTGTGAGAAGATTCATTATAAACATCAACAAACTGGAATCTATTAGATTCATGCAATTTAAAGCAACTTGGTATTGTTCCTTTAATCCTTGAAGGTTCAAGGTTCTGTATCGGAACATTGTGTTCACTTATCCTGATGCATGCTCAATAATCCAGGTAGAAAAATCCAAAAAAGTTCAATCTGGTCGGTCCTCTGGACACCACAGAACACCACATACATAACACTGTGGACTTTGTGGATAAGGTGAGGGATGTCATCATGGAGACTGATGAAACAATGGTCTCTTTTGATGTCACATCACTCTTTACGTGCATCCCTGTTGATGATGCAGTAGAGGTGGTCAGTTTAAGATTAAAATCAGACACCACTCTGAGCAGCAGGACCACACTTTCCACAGAGCAACTGTGTCAACTCTTGAAACTGTGCCTGCAGTCAACCTACTTCACATATGGGGAGCAATATTATAGGCAGAAACATGGGTGTGCTATGGGGTCTCCAGTTTCTCCTATTGTTGCCAACCTGTACATGGAGGAGGTAGAAAAGAGAGCCTTGACGTCCTTTTCAGGGACACCACCAAGTCATTGGTTCAGGTATGTTGACGACACCTGGGTTAAAATTAAATCTCAGGAAGTCCAACATTTTACTGACCACATCAACTCTGTGGATAAATACATCAAGTTCACATGAGAAGATGAAAAAAATGGCAAGTTGGCTTTCTTGGACTGTGAGGTCTCAGTCTCTGATAGAGGACATTTGCAAACTGAAGTGTACCGCAAACCCACACACACAGACCAGTATTTGCAGTTTGACTCCCATCACCCTTTGGAGCACAAGTTAGAAGTCATCAGGACTCTGTATCACAGAGCAGACAGCATCCCCAGGAGCCAGGTAGAAGGAGAAATCCCACACAAGACAGGCTCTAGAGCAATGTGGATATCCTAACTGGGCCTTCCTGACAGCAGAGAAGAAACACAAACAGGACTCCAGTCAGCCATCAGGTGAAAAGGAGGAACCCAGACACAGACCAGTGGTCATTCCATATGTTGAGGGAGTATCAGAGAAACTGAGACGTTTATTTTCTAAACATAACGTCCCAGTGGCTTTTAAACCCCAAAATACATTACGGCAAAGACTGGTTCATCCCAAAGATCCAGTCCCCCGGCACAAACAGAGTAATATTGTGTATGCTGTTCAGTGTCAGGAGGGCTGTGATCAGTCTTACATCGGGGAAACTAAACAGCCACTGGCCAAAAGGATGGCCCAGCACAGAAGATCAACATCATCAGGCCAGGACTCTGCGGTCTACACTCATCTCCAGGCCAGCGGTCACTCTTTCAAGATGTTCACATCCTGGACAGAGAGGAACGATGGTTTGAGAGAGGAGTAAAGGAGGCCATCTTTGTGAAAAGAAATCATCCATCATTAAACAGGGGTGGAGGCCTCCGGGTTCAACTGTCCCCCTCTTACAATGCTGTGATTGCTAGTATCACTCAGCCCTCTGTGAACAGTAAACAGCCATCAGTGTG